TTCCTCCATGTCACCCTATGCCCCAAAAGCTCCTTCTACAGCTCTTCGGGTGGCGGAGAAGAGACCCAGGAGGCCCTGCTCTTTGCGGAGCGGACTGGGGGGCTGCCTGTGCACAGTCCTTCCTTCTTCCAGAGAAATGTACGGATGCCAGAAGTGAGGAGAATGCCCGCGGGGTCCCTGAGGTGCCGGGGCGGATGTGCTGCTCGACCTGCGGGCAGGTGTTCAGCAGCCGGGAAGAGCAGGTGAGCGGGGCCAAGCAGCTACTGTGAGATAGGAGTGGGACTGGCATGGCTAGCGGGGTCCTGCTGCAGAGGCTCGGTGCCAGCGTAGTGCAGCCTAATGCCGGCTGCTTCCCAGAGCTCTGCTGCCCACGTTCTCTTGGCATATGGCACTTAGGTCTTGCATGTTATCACTTAAAATGCTGTTTACTGCAGCTAAATGGTATGTGCAGCACAGGCCTGCACCTGTTCAGGTTAACTGTTATGTGGGATGATGCAGACTTCCAGCGTCGGTTCAGCCCTTCGAGTCTGTCACCTCAGGCCCTTTGGTGGTGGGGGTTTCTGTAAAGCCACCAAGACCCTGCCAACTCATACTTCTTTCCTTCGCAGACTGAGCACTACCGTCTTGACTGGCACCGCTTCAACCTGAAGCAGCGACTCCTGGGGCGCCGACCTCTGCCAGTGGAAGTGTTTGAAGAGAAGACCCGCGCAGGTGAGGAACGGGGCTGCCTCCAGCAGAGCCCAGAGGCTATCAGCGGCCTGGCTGAGGCTGTTCTATACAGGGATGAAGCCCCTGGCTACCCCTGTTAGCTTGCTGTCCCTTTGTTTTGCCCAGCACTGCTCCTGAGTCCTGCTGACTTGTTATGGGGAGAAGGAGGTGTTCTGCCTGAGCCCTCCCTATGCATAACTGGAGCCCCAGAGCCCCAGATGCCTGTCTCCCCAGCCCACAGCCCCTGTGTAATATGTAGGGTATCAGACAGGACAATTCTAGGGCTGTGGTCTGGCCCTTGGACCCACGTGCAGAGTTTTGGGGAGGCTGTTGGTTAATCTTTGCTCTGCTCCACAGCTCATTTTCTTTCCCTTGCAGGTGACGTTTCCAGCATCTCAGGGTCTGATTCGGAGAGCTCCGATGCAAGCAGTGAGTCGGAGATGCTGCCCCCTGCCAGCAATAGCTCTGGGACCACCCCGTTTCCCCGCTCCCACAAAGTGCTGCTCCGCAATGCGAAGGGCCAGCTCATCTCTGTCTACCGCTGCGTGCTGGGCACCGGGAAGGCAAGTCACAGGCCAGCTTGTTGGGAGAGGGACCCCAGAGAAGGCGGGTAGCACTGGGAGGTACGACAGGCCCCCACATCCTGTGGTGGGAAGGATGGTCTCTGGTGCCAGGTCAGAGCCTCAGGCTTGTTGGTGGCCTGTTTTTTGGCTCTGGGGTGCTCCCAGAAACCTGCTGTCCTGGGGGACAGCAAGAGGTGGCAAGGTGATCCTGTGGATGCTAGCAGGGGTGTCTGTGTCTCAGGGCGGCAGCGAGGAGCCAGCCGAGCTGACGGCGTCGCTGCAGAGCCTTGGTGCGAGCACGTGCTGGGTTGTGCTGATGATGGGCGGTGGGCACTTCGCAGGGGCTGTGTTTCAGGGGTGAGTACAGGCAGACAGAGCTGAGGTTGCCCCCCTGGGCAGGGCCAGGTGGGGGTTAGGCATTGGATGGCCACCCCATCCCTACTCCTCCATCGCAGTGCTTACCACACCCCGGGCACCTGCAGCTCCTAGGCTTTGCTTGAGAGCTGGCTAGGCCCGGTTGTGTTGCAAGAGAAGTATTAATCTCCAGGGCCCCAAGGGCAAGCCGCAAGCCCTCACAGATTCCAGGAGGATCACCTCACCTCCTCTCCGTGCGTGGAGCCCTGTTGCTCATGCCCATCCCTCTCCACAGCCCCCAGGTGCAACAGCACAAGACCTTCCACCGCTACACAGTGCGAGCCCGTCGGGGCACAGCCCAGGGCCTACGGGACACCCAGACCCCAGGGTCAGCACCCAGGTCGGCTGGAGCCTCCCTGCGGCGTTACAACGAGGCCGCGCTGCTCAAGGTGGGGCTGGACCGCAGCACTGGGCTCAGCAGGGAGCTCCGTGGGGTGGTGCTGCACTGCTGGAGGGTGTGGGTGGGGTGTGAGCACGGGAGGGGGGTTAGGGCCCAATGGAAGCTGCTCTGTCCTGGGTCTGTCCCAGCTCCAGAGCTGCCTGTGCCCACGCAGTGTGCTCAGGATCCCATAGTGCCTCCCCTTCCTCTCCAGGATATTCAGGACCTGCTGGCAGCCTGGGCACAACACCTGAATGAAGCTCAACGCATCTTCCTCCGGGCCCCACGCCACAACCAGGTGCTGCTCTTTGGTGGCAGGAACCCACCCCTCGCCCGAGGCGACACTCGTGTCTACCACATCCCCCTCAACACCCGCAGGGGCACCCCGCCAG